TCCAGAATCTCATACAAGGACCACATACAATATAATAAATCTCTCAGAATATATGAAGTAAGTCACTGTTTGTTTCTTACTAATGAATGCCGCGAAACTGCTGCAACTACAAAACTCGCGAACTTATATTACCTGACAACTTCTACTTCCTGCAAAGTTAAAAACCCAGCCATAACACAATAAAATACGTCGAGGCTAATGTATCTCTTTTCGCATTTCTCATTTCAAGTTTCGCTTATTATTTTTGAACCTGATTGCGAATTGCTAGGCTTTTAACATGGCACATTTTACGTTTAAAACATGAGACTGGAATATGGCGGGGGATTTTTATTTTCGTAGTATTTCCCATACCAAAAATACACAGCAAATATTTCGGACAAATCGTTTCTGACCAACGACAACCGCTAAATAGATAACATTTACTAACGCATTTATGGAAAAGTAATATATAAAATCGATGGCTTTCAGACGAGAATTCAATAAATTAACGACAATTTGACTTACAAATACAAGGTTAAGAGCCTGAGTTCGAGTGGTTGTTTTAATTGTTTTAATATAATTTAATAGTAAAATGAATTAACCAGGTTTTACTACTTTGTCGACATTTTGACCTTTTCCGGCGTTGATTTTTGCACCTGACCAGACCACCCCCATTTATTTGATTGTAATTTGTAGAAATTCGAAAACTTAAGAAATGATGCAAAAGAGCCACCTAACCTTCCCGATTGTCATATATTTTACTTGCGCTATATTCTCATGTATTTACTTACTGTCATTTTGATTCACATTGTCTCGCATTTAAATTCTCATTCGCAATTTAGTTTATATTCTACCAACGTGCATCTACTTGGAATAGATGAAACATAGCATATTGAATTTCACTCAATCCAACTTGAACGAACCCGAATACTTCTGTTTCAAATGGAGACAAAACACTTGAAGTGAGACATCCGGGTAAACCTTATCATCCTTGCTATTGACTTCTAGAAATGCACAATAAAACTCTTATGGAAGGAGTTATTGCATACAGCTGTGAGACTGCTCAAGCCTATAAACATAAGATAGTATATAAAGCGTCAAGTTCAAACAGGGCTGTTTGCGATGTCTCCAAGCTTACTCTGCATAATGACAAAGACGAAGCCAGGCGCTTAGAAACTGTTCATCAGAAAATGGACATTTCGTCTAACATCTTATTTAACTGGTCAATTGTAAACAAGTTTAAACAGTAATTATTTAACTATAATTTTTATGCCAAATATTGATCATACAATGACGTGGACAAAAAAACTAGTACATTTTACTAAAAAAAGATATAGTATATTTTACTATATATATATTATATTTTTGACCATTTTCAACCCTCTAATGTATTTTTCACTGGAGGTGATTAAATTCTAAATCCCCTTAGAGCAGGACGGTCATTATTTAGAAAAATGATTAAAGCTTCGCATCGCCAACTGATTCAGCTCTCAACCTTTTCGGAATTCTAGCAGAACAAAAACAACAAAATAATCCCAAATATTTTTTTTTTCGAAAGCATTTGCCAAAATTATCAATATAAATGTAACGTTATGTAATTACTTAATTAGTTTCCACACCAGTGAGAAACTATTCCAAAAAGAAATTAACTGCTCGTTTCAACAAATCGTTGAGACTGTATTTGAAGACATTCGTTCCTAAAACAAACAAATGGTATTGGTCCGGTAAGAGATAAATGACCTTAAAAAAGTGTTTTTTTCCCAAATTAGCAGCGGCTTATTTTCCACAGTTACGAGAAGAACTGTTGGTACAATAAAAGGTGGATACGTTCTAAAGATTAACCGCTATCAATTTGAACAAAACAAATCGATCGACAATTACACAATATATCCTTGGAAGGTTAATGAATTATGCGATTAATAAATCTTCGGAAAAAAAACAAGGGAAACAGGTGTCACATAAATTTAAAGTCTATGACTTTTATAAAATCCAGCCACCATATAAATAATTTGGCAATGGCAGCCATTTATTTTCTCACTTTACACAGGCAACATGCAGTTCAAACTTGGGAGGAAAATAGATTTAACGACTGGTCCTTTTCCACCTGCAGCACGCCTTTTCCATCATGATATTTCAAAAACATGCTTTTCAATTTTTGCATTTAATATGATACTTTATATACTACGGTTGGGAAATATATTTTAATTTAAAAATCCCGATTTGCCTGCCTGTCAAAAGCTCGCAGTCTCTAACACAATGCCGTAAATAGTAATTTTCACTTGCATGTGTTTCTAACTAGATGGCTACATGGTTTTATTATAACTTGATATACTTGGATTCTGCTTTATGTATCTAGTTTTTTTTATAGAAGATCATTTTATGGATCAATGGAGGACCGCCATGAGTTCAGCCTAATTTTCAAATTATTGTCTAATATATATCCGCAATCTTTCGTGTCGTATAATCTGAATAACCCTGTACAGGACACTTAAATGGAAACCCCCATTCTTATACAAGATAGAGAAAAACTGATATCGGTGTCTGAATCTCGGTTTTTATGACAAAATTAATGATGAATATCAATATATCCAACAGTTTCCGACATACAGAGTCCTTTCCAGAAATGTGCACTTTTGAAAAGGCTCTCTAACTCTTTTCTTGTGATTTTGTTCAACATTCTTCGGGAACATTGTCAAAGCACTTTTTCACTTAGTGACCGATAACGTAAATTTCGCCATTCTCAGAAAGCGGCAATACCTCAAAAGCACAACTCAACACAGTGTTACCCAGACCTAAGTGGTGCCCGGTCTTGCTGGAAAATATGTTCTTCCGTTCCGTGAACGGCAGGTCATCAACAAAGGGTTCTACGAGTTGCTTTAAAATATCTAAACACTTTTATGGTGTTAGAGTGTCATCAAAAACGAACAAACCGATAATTTCATCTCTAAAAACACCTGCCTACACATTAACCTCAAATCACCCTTGATTTCTCTGTTCCACAACTGAATGAGGATTATGTTTCGCTTACGTGTAGAAGTTGTAACGGTTAGAAATACCTGGAGCTTTGTCTATCCAAATACAATTCAACGAAAAATTGCGCACTTGGCTTCAGTTTTCTAGGAACCAGCGGCAAACTTTCATTCGGCGTTCAAAATCTTCAGGTCTGGGATGATAAACTTTTCTTCTCCTAAACGGTCGAAAATTATCGTTTTCCAAAGTTCGCCCAACAATAGATCTTGGCAGACCTGTTGATACAGTTAAATTTCGCGTTTTCAACAGTTCTTAATAATGTTATACCTTTACCTTAACGTTAACTCTCTATCCCTATTTGATATATATCTTTTTTGTCTTTTCATCTCAAATTCACCATAATTTTTTAGATTATATTGCAATCTCATCCTGGTACAAGTTGCTTGCGCCTCTGCACTCTCCCCAGTTTGTATGAAGCAAACTATCATATCTCAATTTTCATAATTCTCATTTTATTTCGGATTAATTCCGATAAGTGCAATGAAACTCAGAAATATTATATAATATATAATATTTCTGAGTTTTAATATGTAATTTTATAATTTCATTTTAATTTAAATGATAATTTTTCATTACTTTATAAATTAATATATAATTTTTCCATAAAAATCGAGGATCAGACACCGACATCCGTTTTTATCTATCTAGTATAGAAATGAGAGTTTCCATTTAAAAGTGTCCAATTTGGCCCACCCTGTACATATTAATGTGAAGCTCAGCTGAATTCGTAGTTATTGAGATATCGGTATTGACACGAAACAAACTACGAACTGAACAACTAAGTAGGTTGGCTCTCTATTTCAATTGTCAGTTGCAGTGTTATCACGTTAGATTGTCTCTTGACTCAAACAACTAAAATATGATCACGAACTCAGCTGTCAATAATCTCTGATCGAAGCCATGGATATTAATCATTTCTTTGCATTTTGCTGGCGGTTACGCCATACATTGAGAGCACTAATCAATAAACATGATTTGTGAATGTTTGATGTCTGTTTTATTACCCAGCATGTTCTTCTTTAAGGAAGTTCTTGAAATACGCAGAGATCCAATGAAAATGCATTTGGGTCATAAGCCCAGAATATTCAGGTGATAAAGTAGAAAGCAAATGGGCCAACGTAATTAGGCTTTGTGGCCTAAAGCTACAGCCTGAATGCATAAGTTTCGCATTTTTATATTGAAAGGGTACACAGTAAGTGGTTTGCGCGAAAATTGAAAATATTGCAGCGGATTCTTTAAACTTCGTCTAATGAACATTAATATCAATTATTAATATGTACATAATTTCGGAGAATTTTACATAAGGAAGATGTAATTTTTAGAGCTTTCCTTGTAAACATTTCCCAGTTCATATTGGCATACATTGTTATATTTCTCAATAGTAAAGATCTGTTGTAACGGTTGTTCAATATTGAAATCTCGGCAGTTCTGCAAAAGGCAGTTTTCAAAAACCACTTTATAGCTCTTCAGGTCCTCGAAATATGTTAAGTGTGACGCATGACGCATAATAAAAGCTTATGTTTCCAGCCCTGCAAATTTGTACTTGTATGTTTTTTTTGTCAAAGGTGTGAAGTGTTAAAGGGGGAGCACCCACCCCTCTATAGATTTGGCATAGCGGTGCCGGATATAATGTTTGCTCAAATTTCAGAGTAGACATTTTCTTGTCATGCTTGCTTTCATCCAGTGATGTACTCAGGGGAGATCACATTGTAAATTATTGTATGAAATATCAAGGCCCTTTATTGTCGCCCCTGTAAGGCCCCTCCGCGTTTCATATAATCAAAATCTAAATTTGAAGTACCAGTTCGACGCAGTATTCGCACTGGACATAGGTTACATGTCCAACATACATTTACCTCATCAGATCATCAAAACTCGCCGGGATCTTTTAGAAAAACAATTTTTATATCATTATAACCGTATATTGATATATTCGAGACGCGATGAAGGAGAACAGTTTCAATAAAATAAGCCGTTATTTAAAAGAGCACTGAATATAAAAATTTGGTTTTATTTGGTAGGTTGGTTGGTTCGAGCTCCAAAACATAATTTTATAAACACTGAACGTTTTAATAGACATATATCAGTTGTCAAAGCAATAACCCTCTTAAACAAGCACTTTCGCAAAATCTTCAAATAAAAGGGGGCCAATATTCATAAATCAAAAATTGGGGATGGAAGACCCTCATTTAGTCGTGTTTTTTTTGGATGGCAAATCCTGGATACGGCTATGTAGGAGTTCCCCCATTTAATGCAGACAAGAACGGTGCGATGGCATCGTCATGAAGGATTGCATAGCTTTTGCTTCATTAGGTTTCAGGCCGGCGTCGAAAACGCGCAACTGAGGGAATTATCCAGAATTTTCAACATATTCAAAGAGCCATCATGTGGAAAATTCTCCTCACCTCTGACGAGTTAACGCTTTAAAACGATAAGAATATTTGGTTTTTGGAGGCAATTGGTGAATCACATATATAAATTTGCTTCAATAAACTTACATATTTGCCTGCTTCTAAAATCGTTTTTTCAAGATTCACCAGCATTGCTTACCTGAAATCAGAAACAAATGTTAAAATTTACATATATAAAAACAAATATATTTAATTGCGGTAGTAGTTGAATAACATTCAGACATTGTCGCAGTGGGGTTTTGTTGCATTATACACTCCAATAATTCAGTGGTGCAAAGCTGGATTTAGTCGTGTTGTTTTCAAACTATAAATTCCTCTTTGGCTCGGCTCCAGTTTACGCAAAATCAGAACTTGGCTATCTATAGAAGCATACTTAACTTACAATACCCTATTGATTTTAATGGATTTCTTTGTAAACTATTTTTAGACGAATTTAATGCAGAAGTTGTATCCGAAGAAACCCGTTGTCAAACAGTTTCATATAATGGTTTCCAACATGATTTATAAGGTCACTTAAAATTTTAAATTTGAAATAAGTGTTTTAAAGTGTATAAGTTAAAAAGTTTCGATTTTTATTGATGATCGACAATTAAAGATAAAGCATCATTCTTACTTACACCGAAAATTGCTAACTGACTGAAGAGAATTAGGCACACTCCCTTTGCTCCTATTTCTCAGTACAGAAACATTTTATCAAACAACTGAGGACTGAGGTCCAAACTAAAGGTAGTGCCGGTGGAAAGTAATTTGAAATTTAATTAGTAAGAAAAAACGGAAGGATACAAGACCGGAGCGAAATAATAATTAAATTTTAAAGAAATGTTTTGCCGCTCTACCGCAAATATCCTAAATTTAAAAGAGCATTTATGGAGAATTATTTCGTTTCTGAAAAGGGGCTATTATTTATTTTTAAATTTAATTGGTTTTATACATTTGAGATCGTGCCCCTCGTTATTTCGCTGCAATGAATTAGCAAGGGGAGAGACCTTTGCTTGGAATTGTGGATTTCTAATGTGGACAATTATTTTCAGAGCTCACAATTCACCGCTTTGTCGATTTTACCAACCGACCGACTTTCTGATATTTATAGGAGTAACGCAGACCATTTTAGAGATTTATCTATCATTTGAGATTTTAGTAAACTTATTGGAACATCATTATGTACGGTTCAATTCTATGGAGAGAAGACGATAATAATACTTTGTGTATTGAGGTACTAAATATATTCCAATAAATAATTCCCCTTCGTTTTGATAATGTTGTAAATTCATACTAAGGATGCTGCTAATGCCATCTGCTTCGTTAAACATTTAAACTAATGTAATTTGTTGCAGTACTGATATTTTATCAATACTTTCACACCTAAAGATGACTAGAAAATTTGAATCCAACATCTGAATCAATCCTTCCGATATTTAGCAATTAAAATTCCCTGCCTGAATGTTCGTAATTTTGATCTGTTTCAAATTATTTGGACTCAACATCACTCTTGCCCACTCAGCACGATTTACACACTCCTGATTTGGAAAATTAACTTAACATAACAACTCAATTTAACAATGGACGAAAAAAGTAGAACTGAAAATAAGCAGATAGAAGCAATCTATCTGAACAGACGTTTAAGACCCATTTTAGCCATAAAATGAAAATGTATGAGACGACGTATATTTTTTGCGGTGCTCTGTACCCACATCAGAGGTTTATATGTTCTGAAAGCTGATTTAATTACTCATTTCTTTTACCCCATACTGGATCACGAATTACCACTTATCATTTTACGAATTAAAGCCATACAACATAAAAATAATAAGGTGCGTTATGATTTTCGAAGGGTGGATATTAACCAGACCAATTTGCATTTACTTCTAATTAATTAATGAATTCGAGGTAATTACTCGTATATTGAGCTGAAATTGACAGCCAGTGCGCCATTATTGGTTAATTAGCGTGCGTAGTAATTAATATTCGATATCTAAATAGAAAGAGCCATTTGCCCAATGAGTTCTAAATGGCTCTCTTCTCATTATTTTAGAATTTGATTTTATTGACAGTTCATACTATAATTCCTTACATTCCTTACATTGAAGAGTTTCTAAATAGGAAGCTAATAGAATCCAATTAAGTTTCTTGTCTAAATAATATTCTATTAAGTAAGTATTATATTTGAGTAGATTCGATTTTTGAGTCCGATAATATTCCACATTCAGAACAAACTTCCGGTATTTAATTTTAACCTTGTACTTAAAAACTACTTTCCATAAAACGGAGAAGTTCCTCGAAGCTCAAGGCAGTCGTTTCTGAATAGAGACCAAAAGTCATTAAGCCAGATTAGGAAGTGAGGGGAAAGAAGATTGAAATATAATTCTGAACTGCGATACTGTTGGGGTTAAAGCTAACATTAATATTTATATAATTTCGTTTTCGTCGATTTCAGAAAGGGTGATTTATTTAATCTAACCGCAAAGTGCTCCCCTAATTGACCTGGAGTTCCGCAATCCTTTCAATACTGAACAAATATTTGTCTAAAACCTTACCTTTTGCTGAGTACTTTACGTGAAGTACATTAACTGGCATTTTAGTGTTGCTGCTAACACATTTATCATAAATGTTAAAAATAATCCAAATCAAAAGATTTACTATAAATGAGAAATTCTAATTAAAAACTGTACATTAACACCACGCAGTTTCATACCTCGACCTAGTTAAATAAATAGGAGTTTGTGTGTTTCTAAACATTTTTCCGTAGGCGGAAAATTAAATGCAAAGAGACTTTTCACTTTCAGGTAAAGTTTCTATTAAAGCACGACACCGGAACGTTTTTATTGAACATGCTAAAAACTGCTTTGACACGGTGGCTTAACACTTGAAAAAAAAACATACATCTCTTAAAATTTTAATGGGCAAACATTAATAACCTTGATCTGACTTGAATTATTCATTTACCAAGCGAAATATCATTTTTCGCTGCCTCCAGCAAAGTGTTTTGGCAATTATTGCAACAGTCACTTTTTCATATATTTCCATTCAGTATTCAGAACGAATGAATTTACATCCGTTTTTCTTTCATGCCAACGTCAGCATCTCCTAATTATGTATGCACACTTTTTCAGTCGATTTCCTTCATCAAATCACACAGTTTCAAAGAAAAAAGGCAACTTTACAAAGAATAAAAGTTGGTGCCATTTATTCCAGTTCATCTACACAGAGCAATCTTCAGTTGATTTATTTCTATGAAGGTTGGTTAAATTTTAATAAAACTGATTATTATTAAACAAGGTGAGAAACACAGCAATATTTTAATCCTTTCAGTAATCGACATTTAGTCGAAACACTGTTTCTTTGTATATAAAACAAAGTATTTTATGTTCTAATAAGTATGTCTTAATATGTTTTAGCCAATGCTAAAAATATTTTTAATCGTCTTATTTGCACATTTTTGATGGATTATGTAGGTTTCTTCATAATCCATCAAAAATTAAGTTCAGGCTTAAAAGTGTTACTTTTTTAGACGTCCGCAGATATGGACATTAATTAAGCGTTAAAGCAACTTTTTCTTTTAGATTGCTCCCAACGACTGCTAATATGATTTTATATTAGTAGTCGTTGATTATTCCGCATTTTTTATCATAACAACTGTATACCGATTAATGGAATCTGCCTGAACATCGGTCCTTACCTGCTTTCTCACTCCGAATTCGATCTTTTTAGTCAGCTATTTACGTCTTCGCTTTCGAATATTGTGTTCATTTGATGCACAGTCTAACTAACGATTTTTTTTTCTTGCAACACAGTCAAAGTTTCTGCTATATATATTGGATTCTCCCTGTCCGTCATCACGTTTACAACCCAATAATAATAATATTTTGCAACGCAAAACTATAAAACGTGTTAATTAAAAATGTGATGCAAATATTAAAATATTCAAAGCAAGTTTCTAATTAATTTGAAGCTGCAAACTGCGTTTGATGACACTTAACTAATACAAGAGGTACCTTATTAAATTTGCATTAAAAAAAGTTTAGCACATTTTGCAAGAAAAATTACTTGAACATTCATAGCGAAATTTAAACCAATATCCGGGACCTTCTTTAAATTAAATTTAAGTAACCCGAGAGAAGGCGGAAATATTTTCCACTATGGCAAAATGCCTGTCAAAGGACAAGTGAAAATTTGCCGCTCTCCGAGTTAATTGCATTATCCTAGAGCATTTAAAAACATTTTGTCAATTAAAACGGTTCGCAGCTTCTATCCAACCGGCAACCAGGATTCTTAATTAAATTTTTTAAAAGCCACCTATTAGGTTGCTCCATATGCCTAGTTAGCTTAAAAAGAAGCTCACAGGCATGTGTCTACTCTACATTCCCTGGTGTGCATTTTTCGCTTAATAATTTCAGCCAGTTAGTGAGGGTTAAAGCTAGCAATATGTTAAGAGCACTACAATTTTTCAAATTAGCATTCCCATTCATACTCGGGTAACTAATATATGTTATTGTAACATTTACATCCATTACGAACGAAAATCTTTAGAAGTAGTTAATTGGTTCTTTTTATAGATCGCAAGAATATTACAGAGACTCTACTTTCAATGTTTTTCTTCGATTTATATAATATGAACTTCACCATTGCAAAATTAACGTGACGTTAGAACAATTTGACAAATTACCATTCCTAAAACAATGATGATTTTATGTTATTTCATATTATTTCTATATGTATATAAACTGACAGCACCCAAATAGATCGTCATGAAAATTTAAAAAAATGCAATTGTAATTAATTGCAAGTTTAGCATTAATTAATGGCAAAAATAGTCTGCAACTGAAAACAACACATTGAATTTTTATTAATGGTATGGAAAGTTAATACGTGAACTGTTCCAAGATTGTCATTTTGAATAAAGCACAATGCATGACTTTCAATTTGTTGCAAATATTATTCATCACAAAGGAATGATTCCAATATGCCTAAAAATATGCCTTTAAAGCGCACAAGACCGACCGGCGTGTATCAACATAATTAATGATGCATGATTCGAAATGGCAGTTCTGGTTTATATCTTATTCACTCTGAAAGCAAGTCCGCTGAATAATAAGGTTTGGGGTAATTTATGTCATTTCACAATATTAAAGTATCGT